TAACGAAGTTTAGAAAGGGTAATTGCTTCTTGAATATTGTCCAAAAGTTCATTGATGACATCTATGTTCAACATAATCGTGACATCATCTAAAGAGTCCAAACTAGCTTTGTTTTCGTTAATCGAAGCGGATATCTGATTGATAGTTTCGGTTAACTGCGTAATCCTTTTGTCGATGCTTTCGTTAATACTGTATTGGTGGTTATTTTGGTCGATGATGTCGTTCATCGTGGAGTTTATGATGTGCATGTGTTGAGCGTCGGGTAGGGGTTAATTTGTCATAAAATGTGTTTGTAATAGTTTCTATGCTATCCTCAATTCTATCTAGATTTATTGGGTGTATAGTTTTTATGGATCCTGTTTGAATTTTACAATTGCTTTCCTTAATTTGAGCGATGGGATCATTAACAATGTTGATGATGTTTAGAAACGGTTCACAGAAAGCAAGGGAAAACGTGGTGCATAGTATAAATGATATACATATTATCTGTAAAATTAAAATTAGTGTGTAAGTTTATAACGATTTTGTCAAGGCAATTTTTTTGTTAGGCCTTGCGTTTTCTTTTCAATTTTGTTTTCTGCAATTTTATGTTCCTACGTTCGATGGCAGTTTTCCTCCTATTCTCCTTAACAATTTGTTTTCTGAATATTTGTTTCTTTTTATTGGGGATGCCTGAAGTTTTAATGTAAATTTGATCGCCTACTGAGAAGGTTGGTTCTTTTTCCCTGTTCTTATGTTTATGTCTTATGTTCTTTATGTCTTATGTTCTTTATGTCTTATGTTCTTTATGTCTTATGTTCTTTATGTCTTATGTTCTTTATGTCTTATGTTCTTTATGTCTTATGTTCTTTATGTCTTATGTTTTTGTCTTTTTTATTATGTTTTTTAATAAGATTTTTCTGATGCGTTTCTACATTTTGAACGATTTCATCAAAGATCTAATTTCTATTGTCTAGTATTCTCTGGAGATTTATAGGTCTTTCTTTTCCCTACTTAAGTCCAAAAAATACGTCTATAGGCTTCATTTTCGTCGCAGAATGAGTGGTTGTGTTGAACAATGAAGTAGCAATCTTATATAGGGGAAATGAATGTAATGTCGACCTAAATGCTCCTAATTTGGACCCATACATAAATTCAGCAATCGACTAAATTTTCAATAGTGACCAAAATATACAATAATACCTACCCAATGAAGCGTTCATCTAGATAAAATTGATAAAAAGCAGATTTTTAGCGATGGGCCCACTCTTAGATACATAGGCCAACATTAGAGCCATTTCCCCTATATCTTTGTTTGTCAAATCGGTGTATTTTGGTTTGATGCATCTAAAAACCTGAAGGCGTGTAGAAAATTTCAACGTTAAGTCTTTGAAGCAGACTACGTACTTCTATTGATTTTAGAGCGACTTCATTGTCGCACACAATCATTTGTGGTGTACCATGCGATGTGAGTAATTTAATGATACCCCTTTTTATATCTGGAATAGAACGAGATTTTACTGGAATAAGCATAGCGTAACGCGACAATCTTCTATACCCGAAAAAAAAGCGTCGGGCTGGAAATAAATATGTCTAAATGAAAAAAATATCTAATGGTTTGTTCGGGGTTGGGGTATATTCAAACTTAACGCGATAAGGGTTTCTCTCGTATTTGTTTTCGAGACAAGTAAGACAGAGATTAACGAAAGAGGATACCTTATTCTTCATCTTGGGAAAGTAGAATTCCTTGGAGATTATCCGATGGTTATACTCTATGGGCTCGGCTGTGCGTTTTCTCAATAATTCTGTCTTGATCTTCTTCTACTGAGATGTCCTGAAAGAGTGTTTGTGTTAATTTAATTTTGAAAATTTTATTATAGGTTATTTTATATTTTATATTTTTTTATAGGTTATTTGAAGAATATTTAACCATCTTTCAGGACAAAGAATACCGTTCATCCTCTTGGGATGCATGAATTCTTTAATTATTCTAACTGCCACTGGTACTTCGAATGATGTTCTGGTCATGGTCCTTCTTTATATACCTGGAAATATTTGTTGATAAGTATCATGGGTTTTGTCCCCTTTTATCATAAGGATCTGATGTTTGAACTTAGTGAGTCATGTTGCACAGTATAATAAATCTCTGAATCCAGGGAAATCAATATATATTTCTTGGGAAATAAGAAACTAATTTTCAGTGAAATTCTTCACATAGGATACATAAATCGATCAGAATGACTGAGTACGCAAAAATTAATTGTTTATTTTCTTACAAATTTCAGGACGTATTCTCGTCTATATAGGGGCTTTTCATAAACTACGTAGAGGTACATTTTTTGGAAATTTGTATGGGCCGTAGATATGTGGGGTCCCTCTAAAGAGTCTACGTAGTTTATGAACAGCCCCCTAAGCAGCGTCCGCACATCTATTATCCATTTTTCAATGTCACGCACACATATATCGTGTTTGTTTGTTTAAATTTATCTGCTACTTGCTATTCTATCCATTTCAATTGACAAAATTGACCAAAACGGGTTGAAAATGTTGTACGAGCGTTGTATCCAAACTTTTCAGGTGAGTGTGAAATTGAACTGCGTGTTAATCAGCTGTTATATTATCGGCAACTCTTTATCAGCCTTTTTTGTGGTGGGTATGTTTCATTTGAAGAAAAACCTGGTTGTTGTATGACTAACATTGAAGTTGTATGACTAAGGTGTGTGTGTGGATACAATCCGTCGCCCACTGAACCGGCAGTGTTGTTATGGAAAAAACTTGTCTGCATCTATCCTGTATCATAGGTGCAAACATTTTTAGCCCTGGAGATGGAAGGTGACAGCTCTATTGTACATCCAGTGACCCATTTCAAGAATACCTGTTCCTACACGTACATTCTGAGGTCTCCTTCATATACAATAAACCCCGCATGAACACATCGATGTATCAATTGGATACATGTAATGCATTCACACTTCCAGAATAAAAAAAAAACTTTTTTTTATTCTGGCGCGTATTAAGTTGTAACAATTTGAAATTTATGTGAATAACACATTAAAATGTAATGATAACTCGGCTCTGTAAAGTTTATTCGATTGAGCCTGTACAAATAAATTAATATAAAAAAACACATTAAAATGTAAGTAAACTTAGCTGATCTGTTCAACGTCAAACTAAAAAGGCGGCTCTCGATCGCATCTTGTGTCCGACGTCTTTTCCCCCTTTTTCTTGTCTTTTTACGAACCCTCTTTCCTTGATTCATCTGCTCTACTTCGATGTATGTTGTATTTTCTCAATGCTTACTACAAAATAAACATTAAAACATTAAAAATTATGTTCAAATACTCTATAGAACGGACTGACATCAGTTTTTAAATCAGTTTTCACACTGAAACTAACAGAAATCACTACTCGAAACAAAAATTTTGTATTTCAAGGTTACTGCTTTCCATTGGACCAGTTCCGACCTTCTCCGATTAGCATGAAACTTTACATAACGATAACGATTTAAAATGTCTCAAATATTGTTTCGTGTGTAGAAATTACATAAAAAAGTTCAAATATTCAACCAAAAGTTCTTGTCCAAGGATTTTTGCCCATTTAAAATATCCATGGTTTTAAATATTCCAAAAGTTTACATTTCTTATGAGCTTTTTTAAAAAAAGCATAAAAAAAAATTAAGACATACTTTTTGAGACATTAAAATGCAACGCAAAATTACAAAAAAAAAATGCTATGTTTATTTTCCCCATAAAGACTTTATTTTTATCTACAACTTTGTCTCTGACGTTCTTTCGATCAGAAGTGAAGTTTTTGAGCTGCAATTTATTGAAAAATTACAAAGACACCATTTTGAAAAAAATACAACATTCAAAATGGCCGAATTTATGTAAAAATGTAAATGATTGCCCTAACACACAATTATGCAAAGTTTTATGCAAATCTGGAAAGTCGAGCTTTCCGATTCGTCATTTGGTGAGGAATTGATCATTGCTAAAGAACATTGTTCTATGCTAGACGGACTAAATATTATTGAGAAAAGGATTATGGTGGTAAACACAGACTGGCAAAAATAAATTCCATCAAACTGTCACTACCCATATTTTTATGCAGAAATGCAACATCTTTTTTTATATTCAAGTAACACTTTATTATTATTCTTTTTTTAAGGTTTCAAACGACGCCAAGGATAACAAGCTGTTGTTAGTAAAATATAATTGTTTCCGTCATATTTGATTACTCTACCAAGAAAAGGGTAAGGATAACTTGGCTCTAGATTACTTAATTCACACGATGCACATATTGGCTCAGCTAGCTCTTAAGATAGGACAAATTTTAGTGGCTAAAGCATACTATGAGAAGTGCATTGAACGTAACGCTAATCACTGGCCAAGTTTTACGTTGAAGCTGTATGACTAAGGTTTCATTTAATTACTTTCATCGATGTGTTTTGGTGAGAAAATACAGCACATCATTTACCCCATTAAAAATTATTTTGGAATATGAAATATTAAAATATTAAAATTTATCATAATATGAATAGTATTGAAAATTTCACATGATACTAAACCAATAAATTTGCGTAAAATGAGATTCAACCCCTTCAAATATGTTGATGTGATTCGCAAACGATAACCCTCTCGATTTACACTCAATGCCTTTATGGCTAAATACAAATATCGAATTAAATCAAAATACGAGAAATTTTAGTAAATATAAATGGCAAGAGGTGTGATTTATAAGTTTTGATAAGAATATGATAAATATCTGTTCATTACCTACATACCTACGTAAAACTATTGTACTTGTTTTTCTTTTCACACACGCTAGTTCGCTCATCAACGCTTGCAAATTAACGAGGCAAAAGAAAATGTTTTCACTGCTGCACAAACATATAAGGGTTTCTTTCTTTTATGTATGGAACGCAATCGTTAAATTTCGTTCCAAGTTCGCTTTACTCTATCGGAGAGGGGTGCTTAACATAATGTACGTATAAAAGCTAAAATCATACCGTCAATAACAATCAGATTTCCTTTATCAATACAGCAGTAAGTTTAGTTTAGATTTTGCACAATGAAGCTGAAGTTTGTGGTAAGTGTTATTAAACCACAAATCTAGAATAAAAACGAATCGTGTTTGGCAAGTTAGTGGCATAGTAGTAATACTTAAAATGTAATATAAACTTCTTAAATCAATCAGCTGTGGGTGTGTGCAGTTTTAAAATATGTGAAAAGGTCTCCAGTGTATGTTGGAGGAAAACATGTGAAAAAAATATGAAAAGCAAAACATCATTTGATTTTATTTCGTTCATATCCTATTTGTCACGAGCAGAGATGCCAGATATTTTTTTCTGAAGTCTGCGAAAAATTTCTGTGAATTTCAGAAATGTCTGTTATTGGGCTTCATAAAATTAGCAAAAGCTTTGCGTGTGTCGGGGAGGTTGTGAAATAGATGCGAAATTTGAAATGTTTTAAAAGTCATGTTTGAGCAAAAACCAGGTGTTTGGAGCAGGTCTTTTAACGAATGTAACCTAATTGGAGTTGCGAATCGTTAACATAAATTAATAAAAAAAAATTACGATTACACGACAAATGAGGTCAACTCTAAGTTGAGATTAGTTCACTCATATTCTTGAAAATGTAGTTAACTAACAAACTGAGTAAAACTTTCCGAGCTTTTACAGGAATTTGTTTTCTAATATGAGAAACATCTCGATGTACATATGAAATTAGTACACGGAAAAAAGTTTTCATGTAGTTTCCATTGGGAATGCACATAATATTTTTCCATTAATAACCAATAAAATCTAGCTAAATTTCACATAAAATTCATGTGATCACTTGAGTTCAAAAGGATAAATCACTTAAATTTCATTTGACACATAAACTTCATGTGATTTTGTGGTGCAATTCCCAATTACGATATCACTTGAAAGTTATGTAAAATTCTAATGAATATTTTCCGTTGGATACGTGATTTATTCTTTGAGTGTTTACTTCTAGAATGAGTGAATTTTTGGTCGATTTTTCTCATATTAGAAAAGATTTATTAAGGCTCGGAAAATTTTACTCAGTCTACAAGTAAACTACGTTTTCTACAGCACATCTTAGTGAGAGATTCAACTTTCCACTACTTAAATATGGAGAAATCGACAATCAAAAGAACAATCTATAAACTTATTAATACGATTCTAAACGCTTCGTGCTTAGAAAGTGTTGATGAGTCACATTAGAATTTTACTATAAGATCAATGATGGACATATTTAGACCCAATGTTCACAATGGCCTATTTTAGATGTACCGAGTACCCCCGGTAAGTGGACAGATTCTGACATGCGCCGAAATTCATCGTGCGAAGACATGTCTGTAAATCTGGCATCTCTGGTCACAAGTTTACATGCGGTAGACGTCTTTGAAAAACAAATTAAATTAAAACTTACCAGCTCCTAAAAAATTCAGTTTTTTATTGTGAAAGCAAATTGTGAATTCAATGCACAGTGGTCCAGGAGGGTGTTTTCAGGTAAAAACTAAAAAAGTGCATAAAGATGCAGTTTAATGAAGTTGGTGTCTTGATACAAGTTTAGATTAAAAAAAAGGCCCATCTGATGAAAGGGTCATCCATAATTTAAATCCCTTAGGACAAAAAATCAAAACATCAATGGTTTAAATCGTCGTTTTCATTGATACATGAAGTATTTTTTTACAGAAGGTCCATTCAAATCGACTTTTCAACCATAACTTTTTTTATTTGTTTTTTTCATGGCATACTATGTTTGAAAGAGTTTTTTCATTTACCAAAACAAGCAACTTTCTAGAGTACTGCAACATGTTAAGAGCGTTTATGTGTTCAAAACATACGATATTCTGGTGAATATTTTGTAAATTGGGGCAACCAGTTTTTTAAACTAAAGACGTTATCAAATTTAACGTGCTTTGATGAATACTTTTATGTAAAAATATTAGAGGGGAAGTTATTTTTCATTACAGGACAGCTAATTTAAAATCATGGTTTTTAGCTCAATTTTACTTAAAATTGGCTCTTTTCCGAACTAACTTCTTTTATATCAAAGTTTAATCATCTCTTTCATTAAAAATGTAATTTTTGTAGGAAACCACACAGCTTGAAAGATAAATATCACATTACAATATTATGATTCTGCTAATTTTAAGAGATGTGTGCCATATTATGTTATTGACATTATCAAAGTCAATTAAAAAAAGATAGGGTTTGTGTACAGCGCAAAACTGCATTATTGATTAATACACGATTATTGCTGTTTCATCATTCAATAATATTCACTTGATTAAAAACACATAAACTTAATTCTCAAATCAACAATGTTTCAATTCATTATTAAAATATTTGAAATTAGGTGACCTCAATATCCTAAAATGAAGACTATATTTTTAGCACTCAATATTTGATATGGTTCCAAACATGGAGACTAAACGTTCTGTAACTGAATAATAATTAAAACTTATCGTTAGCGACGCCAGTGGTGTAGTGGTAAGCGTGATTGCCTCTCACCTCAAAAGGCTTGGGGTCAATCTCAATCGGCGACGCCCGATTTTCTGGGGCATAATATCCATGATCACGGCTTCCTTTGGAAGGGAAGTAAAGCCGCTGGTCCCCGGCCCATGAGTTAATAGGTCGATAGGTAGGGTCCAGGTGTAGGAGCTGCCCTCGTGGTGTCGGTAGCATTGGTACTCAGTACGGAAAACAAGATTGACGGAAAACAAATAATAATAAAAAAAATCAATCGTATGTTAAACTGCATTTCATATAACCCTCCAGTTTATAATACATTGCAGTGCATCTGACATTATATAACATTTTTATATTGCATCCAATAGGTATTGTCCACCTGCAAAACTTTTCCCAAGACACAAATTTTCTATCAAATCGGGATGTCATGTTAAGCAAGTAATTAGAGACCAAAAGGCCCACTCTCGCTACCTGGTGAGCGAGTTCTGAACTGAGCATTCCACCATCCAATACGCTTTTTCCATCTGAACAATTTTGACCAAGACATCAACCTTCTGTTTAGTTAACACGCAAAAAATTCGACATATTAATTAATTTTAAGTAATTTTTTACCTTATTGTTGGTAAAGCTTTTACCTATTTTTGAATTCCCTTTGTTTACTCCGAAAATAATTCATCCTATTCCACACATTTTTGGGTAATTTTGAACGGGTTTGTAAAAACTATAAGCCAAACATTTTAAAAGGCTCGATCTCCTTTGATCGATTCGCGTCACTGTGTTAATACATCCGCCGAGGAACTTACACAAAAAAATTCTGCCTGATAGTCATAGCAAGTGCGAGAGCAAGCGAGCACTAAATGGTTGATTATGGTAAAATTTTTCGATCAACTATAAATGATAAGCAACTATAATATATGCAATAAACGAATCTTACATCAAATTTTAATCAAGTGATGCAATAAGATTCGAAATTCATCCATAATTGGTCAAGTCATAAGCGTTGTAAGTCAAAACCTGACACTATTTCGTCACACATTCTTTTTTTCGATTTGCACCCCAGTTATTCCACAAAAACGTAGTTCATACGCACTATCAGATATCAGGCGGTCAAAAATCAAAAAATCGACTTTCACTAATCCTTTTTTCGTTATTTTTGGTCGATAGTAAACATTTCAACTAAGAGAATCTGAAAGTTTCAAGCTTCTAGCAGTTTTAGTTTCTGAGATATCGAATGTCGAAGGCAAAAAAGAGTAAGAAAAGTACAAATTTTGCCGCAAAAATACACTGCCACTCAAATAAAATTTCATCCACTATTTATCATATAACTACCACATAATTATACATCGTTGGAAAGGTAATTTAATAAGCTTTCCGAAAATAAAATCCATTTGAAAATTTAATGGAGACAAAAAAATAAAAAAAAATAGAAAAAAAATAATTGAAAATTAATGAAAATTTAACTTTATTGATCACAAACTTTCGAGTCTTGCACATTCCCAGGCAAATTATCAGCTCTGGATGAAGTTTTCAGTGCACTCTAACAAGTACTGAAGAGTTTGCCTGCCCCAACCTGCCCCATTGGAAATATAAGCGATTTGAAAATTTTCGGTTATTATGGAAGATTTGTTGAAAAAAATAAACATATTTAAAAAAAAAAGGTTTTTTTTAATTTTTTGACGGTGTTCCCCCCAATAAAACCATGGTAGGTTGTCTTTGTTCAATAGATTTAATTCTCTGAAAACAAGCTTGAAACTGTAACCGTTATAAAATGGTGAAAATTAAATTTTAATTAATCAAAAGTTAGGCCCTTTTCAAAAGTTGGTCGTGAAAATGTTGAAAAGTGATAACGCACACCTTATATTGATGAAACAAAGCAAGAATAATAGCAGAAATTGTGAAAAAATTATAGAAATATTTTTGACCGCCTGGTTGTATGAAAATGCCCCATAGTGATACGTCAATATTAACCATCAGCATGAACTACCTCTCACAATATTTGAAAGTTATCTATGCATTAGATTTAGTTGGTTCGGAGAGTACCAAAACTAACATTATGATCAGAAGCAGAACTTCAATACTGCGGATCGTTAATCGTAATCGAATCGTAAATAATCTGACGAAGCGAATTTCAATCGAATCTCTAGAATCCAGCCTTGTAGTTCCGATACTCTTAAGTTTTGCCAGTTGTGAATCAGTCAAAGTTTTCATTATTCAGGACTCTAAAGTATTATTATTCAGTATTACAGTATTATTATTCAGTATTTTACAAGAAAACTGCACGCGCTGAAGTTAAAGGGTTTCGAAGATGACGGAACGTAAGTGTATTTTCACAAGTATTGTAGGACTTTTATTAGTCATAAGTATTTACAGGAATATTAATTGCAAACAAGGAGCTGGTTTACATTTTAATGGAAGGGAAAGTTGTGACCTAGCTGTTGGATCATGTACAAAAATACTGGTAGTGTGTAGTCGGAAGCGAAAAAAAAAGATTTCATTGTCAAGTTCAACAATTGGTGGAGGAAAAGCACCATCATTGGGGAATATTTGAAAAACTCTAGGAAAACTAATTTTTGAGACGCTGAAAGTCTCGAGAACGCCAAAGGTC